CCTACCACTATTATTCCTCGTATTCCTGCTGCTGGTGATACGGTTGAAGTACCTGCCAAGAGAGTATCCAAGCTTCGTCATGATTGGAACGATGAGGACAAACGCAGAGTGGAGGTGGATCAGAAAGCCAAAAGGCTTTTGATCATGGCACTTCCCAATGAGATTTTTCAATCTCTTAATGCGTGCGATTCTGCCAAGGATCTATGGGATCAATTGGCAAATCAGTTGGAAGGAGGGATAAAGATGAAGAAAAACCGTCGTGCTCAATGCTTAAACGAGTACAACAGTTTCCAGGCGCTTCCCGATGAGTCTTTAGAACAGACTTATCACAGGTTCAACACACTGATCAACAAGTGTCGCAAATGTGACGTGATCAGAACACAAGAGGAGAACAACATGCTCTTCTTGAAGAGGTTGAATGCAGAATGGGGAAACTTGACAATGTCTCTCCAGGCGAATCAAGATCTGGAGTAATGGATGTTGCACGACATATATGGGACTCTGCAAGCTCAAGAGCAAGAAGTGCAGAAAGCCAAGGTCGCTCTGGGTGGATCTCTGGCTCTTGTCTCTGACTCAAAAGAAACAGGATCTAGCCAGCCACACAGAGAACGTAGATCCAAAGAGGAAAGAAGGAAGGGAAAAAAGGCTCTCATCATGGAGAGCGATGAAGAAGACAGAGCGTCTAACTCTGAAGACGACGATATTAGTGCTTTTGCACAATCCTTGGCCCTGATCACCAAGGAATTCCAAAGAAAGTTTGGGAAGAAGGTCTTCGATAAGCGAGGAAGGAAGAGCGATCGTAGTCGAGGCAGAGCTTTCGAAGGAAGGAACCTTCCCTCTATTTCAAACAATAAGGAGGAAGAGCCATCAGAACAGAAGAAACAAGGTGTTCGATGCTTCAGATGTGGCAAAATGGGGCACTACTCCAAGAAGTGCAGAGGCCCTTTGGTGAAAGACGAATTGTACTACAAAAACAAGTACAAGTATAATCGATCACAAAGGAGTCTCATGGCTGAACAGGAGAACTGGGTCTCTGACTCCTCATCCGAAGAAGAAGACCAAGCCCATTTCTATGGGATGGCTGTTGAGAATGACAGAGAAGAGTTTGGATCTGACTACGACTCCCAGGTATGTTCCATCTCTAGCTATTCACATTCTGATCTGGAAGAAAGCATCTCTGCTTTGACAAATGATTTCGTTAACCTACAGCACACGCTCTCTGTCGAAAAATCCAAAAGGAAATATTTGGAAAAGGAAATATTAGTTTTTGAACGTGAGACAGAGCTATTAACTGTAGAGAAACAAAAATTATCAGTGGAAAATGAAAAACTTTTGCAAACAAAACGATCCACTGAAACAAGTCTTAAATCAGAGTGCTTAGAACAAAAAGCGGCTATATAGAAGAAAGAAAAAGAGCTTTTAGAAAAGGAACGTGATAGATTAAACTCTGAGGCCCTCAAATATTATTTTCAAAAGAAAAGGGAATTCTTACATCAGAGCTTACAAAGAAAAGAGCTCTTAATCAAGAAATATCAAGATGCTCAACAGGTGTATGAAAAAGTTAATTCTCAACAGGATAGAGCAGAGATAGGTTATACAGACCTAGACCTCACCTGGAAGAAAAAAACTACTCTTGAATCTGTGTTTAGGTTAGGCAAAAAGAAAAAACCAGATTTTCCAATTTTGTATACAGCTTCACCTTTCAAAAGATGTAGGCTTGAAAGTGGGGCCAAAACTCAAAGGTTAAAAAATTTAAAAATATTTCTTATTCTTCAAAAGGTATGCCTCAAGTTGATTTAAAGAGCATACAGAAGACAAACGAGATCTTTTGTTTTGGCTCTACAAATCTTGAACATCTTAAGACTGATAGTGAGGTTGTCAAACCAGAACCAGATGAAATCAAGAGTTCATCCACATAAAATTCTCTTAAAACTCTAGATCCAAAATTATTGGATGACTTCACAGAAACGATAAGACAGGTTTTCGAGCAAGATTTGCTTGAGGCCTTGAATTATCCTCCTAAAGGTCATGCAGATTCTTCTGAGAGTAATTCCTCGGATACTTTCGAAAGTTCTTCAAAACATAAGACGAAAGAAGGCTCTAGCTCATGCATACAAGAATCTCCAGTTAATGACACCTCTGTATTTCGATATTCACACAAGGATTTTCTTGACTCTGACTATGAGTCAGAGGTGGACTCGATAAAGGAGCAAGTTGAGACATAGATTGTAGCTAAAGAACCAGAGGTTGCAAAACTTCCTAATGAGAAAAAGATTATCCTAGGTTCTGGCCTTGTTAGCATGACAACAAGAGCTAAATTCACTGCAAAGTTTGAATACAGGGCAAAGAGTACAAAGCTTTTCCTCTGTATCGAAGGGCTCTAATTCAAAATCTAAGCCAATTAAGTTCACTTCAGAACAGAAGGGAAAATCCGCTGCCAACTCTAATTTTAATTCTTCTGTTTCAAAGAGGCCTCTGAAGGCCAAAGGAGTAGGAAAGAAGAAATCTGAGAAGATTCATTCAAAGTCGTCAAAACATTCAGATCTAGATAGGAAGTTTGTTAGAACTACCAATGCTAGGAATGATTGTAATAATATGTTCTTCAAATCAAATAAATCATTTTATGATTCAAAATGTGTTCATAATTATGAATGTTTCTCTCTGCTGCATAAGTTAAAGCAACATTTCTCTGATCCTAACTGTATTCTCTTTAGGTCATCAAGGATAAACTCCAAGAAGACCCAGAAGAGAAAGAAGGCTTCTAAAGCCAAGTCTGGTAACTCAGGTGCTGAGACGAAACCTCTCCCTAAAGCTAAAAAGCAATCTTCTATCTCTAATCATCGAGGACCCATTATGAAATGGGTACCTAAATCCCTATAATTTGTTTTGTAGAAGCTGCATGTGGACATTTGGTTTCTCGACTCCGGATGCTCGAGACACATGACCGTCAATAAGAGGTTACTCTCCTCATACAGAGAGAAGATTGGAGGAAAAGTAACCTTTGGGGATAATATGCAAGGAGAGATAAAGGGATATGGAGATCTTCTACAAAGTAAAGTTTCTATCTCTAAGGTTGCTTATGTCTCTGGGGTTAAACATAATCTTTTGAGTATAAGTCAACTATGTGATTCTCGCTACAATGTCAACTTCCAAAAGGAAGCTTGCTCCAATATGTCAGAATCAGGTTAGGAGTTGCTAAGAGCCAAACGAAAGGGAAATCTATATCTCATGAGCTTCTCACCAAGAGATAATTCAGAGACTCTTTGTCTCGTATCTCGTAAGTGTGAAGAAGCCTGGCTCTGGCATCACAAGTTGTCTCATTTAAATTTCCAAAATATAGAGACGCTTGTGAAGAATAATCTGGTTGACGGACTTCCTACCATAAAGTTTGAAAAGGACCATCTCTGCTCTGCATGTGAAATGGGAAAGCTCAAAAGAGCATCCCACAAAACAAAGACAGATGTGTCCTGTGTCAGACCTCTACATATGCTTCATGTGAATCTTTGTGGTCCAATCTCTGTGCAGAGTTTGTCTGGTAAGAAGTATATCCTAGTCTTAATTGATGAATATTCACGATATAATTGGATTGAGTTTGTAAGGCATAAATCAGATGTCCCAGAGCTGCTGATCAAGCTGATGACCAAGATTCAAATTCTTCTACAGAGCAAAATTCAAAAGCTGAGAAGTGACAATAGAATAAAGTTTAAGAATGCAAAGTAATTAAAAATTCAATATTAATTGAATAAATCAATTGTAATTAATTAGAAGGGTACTCCTGCAATGCAGCGAGATACATCTTGATCTTAATATTTTATTTTATTTTTTTGTCTCAATCGATGTTATAATATGGTCTTATGTGGTTTTGAAAAAGCAATGATTTTTTTTACTTTTGGATAAAATCTAAATTTGATATCATAAAAATTTGACAAAATTATATCGATATTAGTATCAAATTAACTATTTAAAATTTCTTATTTTTTGTGTAATTTTTTCAATTCAATTTTTTAAATTATAATTTAATTTAAGTTCAATAACGAAGTAATTTATATTTGATTTAGTAATATAATTTTCTTATAAAGATAATAGTTAATTATTTTGTTAAAACTTGATAATTATTCTAATTATATTTTAGATTTTTTATATTTTAAAATGAGATGTTTATCCTATATTTGATTATGTTTATCTACAGTTAGTTACATGAATTCAAACATGGAGCTTTAAAAAGTTGTACTTATGCATAATTTACTTGTAATCTTAAATTTTAAGTAATATACATAAATATACAGTATTTCATGCATAAAAAGTTGTTTTTAATAGTTTTTGTCAAATACTTTATAATATAGTATAGATAATAATCAATTGAAAGAAAATATTTGTTAATGTATTTTTGTTGTTGATAAAAATCATCGCTAATTAAAGATAATAATTGTAAACAAAAATATGAAAAAAATCTAAATAGTAAATTGTATCAAAATGTAACTATTTATATCCGTCTTTATTTTAAAAATATATTTTCAAAAGCTCAATTTAAAAAAAATGTATTATGTTTTTAAATTGTAACATTCAAATAGTATAATTAAAACTGTAATCTTACATGATATAATTAAAGTTGTAATATTCAAAATGAACAAGTTGTTGAAGATGAAAGTAAAAGATTTTGATTTTTAATTTTGGAGAATCTGTATTTCGATTGGATTCTCCAAAACTTTTCCAAAATGGAGAATCAATTTTAAAATCTCTAAAAAAATGCATTTATTATCTATTTTGAATAATACATATCATTAATTCAAATACGATTTGAGCATTCACTTAACATGAGTTTGATTTAGCGAAGTGAACCACATTTGCAATGGGTTTTCAAAAAAGATGATAGCTTTTTTTTAAAGAGCGGTAATCAAGATTATACTGGAGATGTCATATCCAGCAAGGTAAACAGTAAAGATTTGCCCCAAATTCCTGCTGAATTTGACCGACCTTTTTGTACTCTGTCTGCCCCCTTATTATTGGCACAAACCCTTCCTTTTTTATTGTTTCCTCTTCCTCTTCCGCCTCCCTCTTTTCTACTCATTTTCCACCGTTTCTTTCGGTGGATTCTTGTTCCACAACAATATCCCATGTCGGGTTTGTATAATCCCAACTTCTCTCCAGCAAGAGCTGTCTCTCCTCTGATTAGAAGTAGTAACGCAGATGTTGATAGGTTCGTCGATTTTGATGTCTCTTCAATTTCATGTTCGTCGTCTTCTTTTAGGGTTCTTGATAGTGGTTTGTTTTTGATCTATCTGGTGTTCTGTTCTGATTGGATTTTTGTTGTTGTTGCAGTCAATACTTGACTGAATTATTGGAGGAGCATCAGAAGCTCCAGCCTTTTATGCAAGTTCTTCCTATATGCAGCAGACTCTTGAATCAAGGTTCAATTTCTTAGATCTTAATTTCTTGTTGTTAACTTCATGTTTTATGCAAAGAATATTGCTCTGATTGTGTGATGTAGATCCCTTTGTATCCTTTCAGACCAATAATGGAGGTTTTTACCTTCATTGAGTGCTGTGACCAAGTAGTCCCAGTCCCAAAAATGTTAAAACTCATTTAAGGTTTTGATGCACCGATCCAGGAATGCAACTATTTTACTCAATTTGTAAATTTTAGTAGTTTTATTGCATTTTTACCCCTGTAAATTATGCAGTCTTCAAACTTACTTCTTAGTGGGAGAAAGATAGATTAAGGGTATTCAAGGAGAAATATTATTTGTTTGCTTCTAGATTTCCCAAACAACAAACATTGTGAGAAGGTTAAGTTTTGAAGTATATTGGAAGAGAGGAGTGTTAAGTTTTGAAGTATATTGGAAGAGAGGAGTGTCGTTTTGATTAACTGAAGAAGGCCATTACAGCATGAATATGTGTTGCCACATGAAATCAATGTTTGCTAACGGTGCTAGGTTTAGGGACTGTTTGTTAGCAATATAATGAGCTTGATAGGACACAGCTTATTCGGTCAGCTATATATGACTGTTTGGTATTGGCTTAATGATATAGAAAGTGGCTTATAAAGTAAGCTTCTAGGGAGAGCTTTATGGAGGAAGCCAAGTTTTTTTCCAGACCTTCCCCTCTCAATAAAAAACACTATACATGTTTTTATATCTATTGCCACCCGGGCTTAACATAAGTAATCTCATAGGATGAAAGCAACATTAAAGCGTACACCCTTGTTCCTCATTGGCTGTTTACTTTTTTTACATTAAGCCCTGTATGGGTTAAGTTGTCTGTCTGGATAAATCTGTCTGTCTGAGGGACGGGAGAACAATAGGTTTGAGGGAGGCAAAGAGAGAGGGTTGGATTATTTCTGGGCATTGCTGGTATTAGTTTGTTTGGGGTGGCTTAATGGGGACAAGTGAGGGGTCCTGACTTATTCCATATAGCCATTAGCTTAATGGCTTAACTATTAAGCCGTAAAGTAACACTCCTGTATGGCTGAGCAACTAAGCCGTGCGGACCATTAAGCTTATTAAGCTGTAAGTAAACAACCCTTAAGTGTCATGGCACCTATGCAATGGTTGTTAAAACTGTGCTTGGGCTCATTGTATCTCACTCAAAAAATGGTCTTATAGTTTCAATCCTATCCTAAAACATGATCTACAATCACTCATTTGTAACCAAATCCTTTTCTGTCCATAGTTCTATCATATAAGATATTGCTATGGTTAACCGAAGTCAGCAAGAGGAAGAAGAAAACATATGATGGAGGACTTGACCGACTGGAATATTCGATATAAATGGAGTTTTCTATTTTACGAGTAATTTTTAAATGCTTAGCCTTAATTTAAACGGTTTGATTATGTTGCCCAGAGCATATAGTGAGCAAAGTATTGGATAACCATGAGTTTGACCTGATCAAGGTTTTTGTGTATTCCAGTATACTACTATTAATTTGTTATTTATAGCATGGGCCAGGCTAGTTTATGTACACCTCCACTAGTCCCATGCGCCATGGGCCCCCAACTCAACAGCCAGACAAACCTTCTAGTGGCCCTGACATGGTGACTCTTCGTCACTTGTTATGCAAACAATTGATTGCTCGGTCCTAACTCCCAAGTGTATGACACTGTTATAAAAACAAGTTATATTCTTGTTCTTATAGAAGCACGTTCAAATAGGGTGGGAGATTATGTTTTTTGTAGCAAAGAATTATTCTCCACTAGTACTATTATGTGCTTCATTTGGACATGATGCTGAAGAAATAGTCATACACCCGAAGCTTTTGCTACTGTGTATTTGATGCAGGATTGGTTTGCTACTGTGTATTTTCTACTTTATAATGAATTCAGAATGTCCCACTTTTTAGTATGCATATATTAGTGAAGTATGATGGCGTTTTCACCAAGTGCATGCAATCTTTTCTTTGTTGAACAGCTCTATGAGATAGCATTCGTAATCTCTCTTGGTGGTTTATTTTTTGGAATAACGGAATTAGATCAAGTGTTTTGATGTTAACCAAAACACAATCATTTAGTGTTCACTTTTTAACTAATAACTTTCAATCCATGTTTTCAGAGATCTTGAGGGTTTCCGGTATGCTGCCCAACCAAGGGTTTAATGAGCTTGACAGACTGCGCCATAGAAGTCCAAGTCCCATGGCATCTTCAAATCTTATGTCAAATGTTGGTGGGACTAGAATGAGTGGCTGGAATGGTCTTCCACAGGAGGTACTTATGAATTCAATTCCAGAATGATGTATATCTCATCTTCTGTAATTAATATTTCTAAATGGCAAACATATATTTATATACATGGTTCATAAGAACCACCCAAACTGGTACTGAATTTTCTTTTATTTTCTTACAAGAATAGCCCAGAGGAAATTATTTAGAAAATTGTAATTGGGGATTTTGAGAAATGATAAATTCCATATTTAAATTTGAGAACGGTTAACTTTTAAATCAATACGCCTTCACTTTATTTCACTTTCCTTGTTTGATGAAAACTTTTCTCAAGTATATAGTTATTGTTTAAGTTTTCTAACATTTGCAAGATATGGTCTGTTGGGGGGTAAACCTGTATGTTACGTTTTTCATTTCTTCATCTTTGGAGAACACAATTTTGTAGATCTCAGAACTTCCAGTGTGCTCTGTACTGTACATATGATGGTTTCATCGTCATTGCTATATGCTTGCTTAAACTGATTCTTCAGATGCATGATCATAGGATGCTATTTCTAGTCATATGCAGTTTTATGATTCTTTAAGATATATAGTTGAAGTTCATGGTATACACTATGGTCATATAAACGTTTGATGTTTAAATTTGGACCATTATGGCACACCCMTCTCCTGTAGCATAGGTTCCATAAACGTAATTATTTCATAAACATACTTACTCTGGAATGAAGGTTTCCCAAGAATGAGAATGTGTAAATGGTGATAAAAAAGTATGGAAAACATCTATTATGTCCAAGTGTCCAACTGTGGGCTGTTGATGAACTTATGCTGAATATATGGAAAACATCTAATCTTTTTTTGAATTTGCTCTCATGATGTGAGCTGAAGCCCATTTAAGTAAGTAGCTCTATGGGGAAATTGATTCGAAGGCTATGGCTGTAAGGGTGAAATATAAGTTTCCAACTGTGGTGCTATATTTGGAGTTACCAGTTCTTTCTAGCTCTTGAGAATAAGGATTTTTGTGTAGTTTCTGCTAGTTGTTGTCCCATTTTCAGGAAGTTCTTGACCAAACTATGCAATCATGATCTACTGAGCCAATTTTTGCATCATGGATTTTGTATTTTTAATGTGTGATCTCAAGATGTGATGGGTGTGAATAAAAGATTGTGTGAATCAGCATGGCAAGTTAAAGTTTAGAGTAAATTACTCTTTTCATCCCTATAGATTGTTAAAAATTACGGTTTTCGTTTCTGTGGTTTTGAAATTACAGTTTTCATTTCTATGATTTGCAACTCATTGCTTTTTTTGTCCTTGAGGCTAACTCCTACCTTTAAGTATGAGGGACTAAAATAGCGAGGAATTATAAACCACAGGGATGAAAAAACAATAAGTTCAAAACCTTAAGGGCAAAAAAACAATAATAAATAGTAAACCATAGGGACGAAAACCGCAATTACAAAACCAAAAGGACAAAAAGAGTAATTTTCAATATATCACATGGTCGAAAATCGTAACTTACTCTAATGTTTATGTAAGAATATGGGTTTTTCAGAAAAGTCCATTTTTCGTATCTTGTACGTGTAAATTTGTTCATTCATGTGGTTTTGAGATCAAAACAGGTGTCATATGGTTTACCGCTCAATTATATGTATTCGAAAAGTATCTTACTTTTTAGGGATTATGGGACATTTGTCATCATTTAAAGTCACTCTTGAGATATAAATTACTCTAGCAGTGTATAAAAGAATACTATTTTGTTACGTACTACTTTGTTTGTTTCTTTCGTAAAAGTTGCACTTGCTGTGATTGCAATTTAGCATCGACTTTTTGCTAAACACCTTTGACTCCATCTATCCCAAATTGGTTGCAACCTTTATTTCTTTCGGAAAAAATTTCAACCCGACTATGCATTGGCTCATTGTATCAGCTCAAAATGCTAATGTGGTTTGCTTATTTGTCATTATTCAATGGTGTTCAAGACATTTGTCCATGGCCAAAGCAAACCAAACCAAACCAAACCCAATATATCCACCTGAAAATGTTGCATTCACTTTCGGACGGAAGGCATGTTGAGATCTGTGTTTTGACTATTTTTTTACTTGCATACAATAATTTCGATGCATTTGCAATCAAGTGCTTCATCTGGTTATATCCTTCAATTCTTGCGACTAACGGAGAACAAGCATCATAGATGCTTTAAAGTCTCTAGGGTTGATTTATTATTGAGAGTTTCCTGTTCTAAAAAACTGATTTATCATGTTGGATCTTATACTCGTCCTTGATTTGGGGATCATAAATTCACCAAAACTCTTATGTCTCATGACAGAGGTTAAGTGGACCACCGGGAACGACAATGGACTGGCAAGGAGCCCCAGCAAGTCCCAGTGCATACACCGTGAAGAGAATTTTGCGGTTAGAGATTCCAGTTGATACCTATCCAAATGTATGCTTTCTTCTAGAAACCACCTGTGTATTCTAATCGTTATTATGAAAAACTTGTATTCTTAATAGCATGATCATCGATTTTAATATTGATCTCTTTTGGATTTTAGTTTAACTTTGTTGGACGGCTTCTGGGTCCCAGAGGCAATTCACTAAAACGGGTAGAGGGTACAACAGGTTGCCGTGTTTATATAAGAGGAAAAGGGTCGATCAAGGATCCAGAACAGGTATCATTGTAACAAAAATTTGAAGTTTTTATTATGTATAAAGTGTGTTTATCGAAGCTAACTTTTGTTGATCTTGAATTTTAAAGGAAGAGAAGCTAAGGGGAAGACCTGGATATGAACATCTAAATGAGCCATTGCACATATTGATTGAGGCTGATTTACCAGCAAGTGTTGTTGATATCAGGCTGAGGCAGGCACAAGAAATAATCGAAGAATTGCTTAAACCTGTGGTATCTTTCTTTATCATTATAAATTCTACGTTTTGATTCGACATATAGTTGAATACCCATTATACTCATGGTCTGCAATCAGTTCACCAATGTCTTGTTACAATTGCCAACGGGCAAATAGGTAATTTTGGATTGTACTTTTGTAAAGAAGGAAATGTTGTATTTTTCTAGGACAACCCAAAAGAGAGAGTATTCACTTTGTTTGCTACGGAGGGAGCACTTGTTTGTTGGGAAAAACTTATTAGTTGCCCTTCACAAAGCCAAAGCACCGTTTGCTGATCGTTTACAAATCTTTATTATTTTTGCTTTTTTTGGTGTCTTGTACTGTATTTATTAGTGTTGTCATATATATATATATATATATATATATATATATAAAACCTCTTCTCCCTTCCTTAATGAACTATGTGCCTACCTCCCACCCCTTCCAGACCCTGTTTTTGAGCGGGATATACTGGGTCTGTTTTATACATTTCCTACCATGCTGAAAAAGATGTGCTCATCCCACCATGAAAGCCTTTATTCCAAGCTCAACAGGGAGTAGAGGTTGGTGTGCCAATGTGTATATACTTGAAGGAAAATAGGATTTATGGAATCCTACACGATGAAGGCGGCTTGTGGAATCTTTGTTTTAACTAATAAAACCTTTATAGGTCCATCCAATGAGCCGTACATGTTATATGTAGGTTGTGAGTATTATTCAATTCCCAATATTATATGTTATATACATAATATGATATGATTGTGTCTGTGGGGAGGTGGTGATTGGCATCAGAGTGTATTAGATAGTTTGACTTGAAAAGTCAAAGATATACCATTTTCCTGTAAGGAAGGCGGTGATTTATAGGATCATGTCTGTGATCAGATGCTCATCCCATACATATATGCAGGATGAATCACAAGATTATATCAAGAGACAGCAGTTACGTGAGTTGGCCATGCTGAACTCGAATTTCAGAGAAGATAGTCCTGGACCAAGTGGCAGCGTGTCACCATTCAACACCAGCAGCGGAATGAAACGTGCAAAAACCGGGCGCTAGATTTTGAAACATTCTTCAACACTTTTTTTGAAGATGGTGAAAATTGAAAGCAGTGGGAAACGGCTTCAGAAATCGTATATGTGTACACTTCTGCCTCCTCTCCTCTGAGAGTCATCATTGGGTATGCACCTTCTTCCTTCCTATACATACACCATATAATTTCTATGGCTTTTGGAAACATAAATCAAAAGTATAGGCTGGAGGTTCAGGTTGGCAAAAAACTCCTCTTTTTATTTTTTGTTTTTTCTTCTTAAAATTGAACGATGGATATAGCAATGAAGTACAAAGCGGAAGAAGTTTCTTTTTTTCTTTTGGTTCGTTCTTATTTATATTCTTCTTTTGGTGATTATAAGGTGACGCGTGTTGTAAACTTTGATTCATTCGATTTATTCTTGTGAGTAAAACCACCGACATTATGCGATACTGCTATCGTCTATATTTATATATTAATAGATTGGCAGATATTGACATCTTCTGTTGCTTTGTTGTAATATAAGTCTCCACTTTTTTATGCTGCTATTTTTCTGCTAAAGATTCATGGCAGTCTCTTTGCAGTTGGTCTAAGACCCTGGTATGCTTTGGATAAAAATCTGCTGTCCCATTACTGTTCGCCAGTCACATGAATACATGGAGTACAAACATGAATTAAATAAATTTGTAGTAGTTAAAAATCTGATGTGTCTTAACATGATTGGTAGGACAAGATTGGGATAGGGAAAGTTTGAGATGACCTTTTTATTCCAGCCTTCCAGGTGTGCTTTTGGTATTGGTTCTTAGGTGTTGTTTGGTTCATGGAATCCATGAGATTTCAAAGGAATTGGAATTACCAATTCCTTTTACCAAAATCCAATTCATATGTTTGGTTCACATCTTAAAATAAATGGAATTGTTAAATTCTTTCGAATCCGTGGTTGAGGGATTTGATCATTCCTTCACTTTAGTCAAGGAATTGATTTCCATTCATTGGCAAATGTAAAGGATTTCACAACTTATTTTAAAAAAACAAAAATAACCTTCGTATCCAATTTAACTAACACCACCCATTGACATTCTCACCCGTTGCCATCACCCCCATCACCAACCATCACTATCACCCTTGCCGCCACCACTACCAACCATCACTGCCACCTCCATCATCGTCGTAATTGCCACCTACGAACTCCTATCCCCACCCCACAACCAACGCACACAAAACACCATCGTCGCCACTACTACATAGTACACTAAACCACTTCTGGCGGTGTTGATACAAGACAATGCATCGTATACAAGTCATCCTCCTCTTAGCTATTAACGACGGAAATAAGAAAGAAAAAGAATATTTCTCCTTGAATGTGACCTGTCTCGATCAATATAATGGTAAGTGTAGTAGAGAAGCATATGTACCTCTTTTAGAGATGAGAATATCTAAAGAATACGCACTTAAGAAACTTTGGATGCAACTTAATGACATGAGATCTATTACCAAATATCTTAGGCACAACTAAATACAAATGTTTTATCAGGAAAAAAAATTGAAACTGTGACATCACCACCAAGAACTACCGAGGGCATCTATTTATTGGAAAAGAAGGTGGATGTCTTAAAAACCATGGAATTGAAAGTATTTTTTTATCAAGTCTCGGTAAAACAAAGTATATGAACGTAGGAGGCAAATAAACACCGAGGGAAGGTTATGGCAATGTGGGCGTGTACGTAGGAGGTATGTTAAGGCATCGGTCAGGAAGGTAGCGAGTATGACAGTCGAGAGGGTGAGAAGGAGGGGAGGCCAAAGGAGGACAAGGGAAGATATAAGGATAGACACGACAAAGTTAGACATTTATGAGGATATGATCTCCAATATGAGCTCTTGGAGACATAGGACTAGGTTAATACACTATGGGTAGGCATATGTAGCTAGGGCAAAGGTGGAGAGAGGAGTTGGGTGTAGTTATTGGGTGATATGGGGAGAAGGGTAACATGGTGACAATTAGGTTACAAGGGTCTTTTAAGGCCGATAAAAGGTTGTTTTACTTTTTCCTACCTTACATGAATGCGATTGTAACTAGATGTGTGACCCATTTGCTATATCACTAATCCTAAATATTTCTTCCTAAAACTACGGTTATGTAGTTGTCTATATTGTGCCTTGTGCTCCTTGTCCCCTTGTTTGTGTAACTTATTTCCCTTTATCTATCCTATTACATTGTTTGTTTACTTGTACACACATTATCACCTATATCTTACTCGCTCGTTTTATATGTTTGTCTTCCATGTCGGGGATCTTCATGGAAACAATTTGTTGGTCCCAGCCGGATCTACAAGAGTTTAGAGGTGATCAGTTTGTAGAAGGGGGGGGGGTGAATACAAACACTGTAACTTTCACTTTTAAAAAAATATATATTGATAAAGAAAGATCAATACAGAATTTTACAGATTGTTTGTAGAATAGACAAGGCAAAGAAAAACCTATCTAAAACAATCTAGAAATACACACATATACACTTAGCAAATATATGAGATTTGCTGAAAGAGACAAGACAAAAGTGTGTTCTTCTTGGATATGTGTCTTAGAATTAGAGATAAATTCTAACTTGCTTGTATCACAGCGTTGCATGAGTGAAGAGAGCACTCAACTATTTATACCTATTGCATTAAATGCAATTCAGAAGAGCACGTGTCAAGCTTTTAGATGAAAGCTTGTCCTTTGCTACAGTGAATAATACTTTTGTCTATTCATGAACATACATCCTTTCATGGAGTTGGTGGGCACTAAAGTCGACTAATCGGCTCCATGCAATATGATACTCTTGAGAGGGTATGGGTTTGTCCTTTGTGTGTGGAAGGACAAGACAAAAACAATCGTGCATGGCAAGCTTCATTTGATCACTGAATGTTGGAATAACGCTGGAGGTTTCTTCAGCATTCACTGAGGCTTGTACAGTTTTCACACATATGTGGACCATGTTGTAATTATTGAATACCGCTTCAGATCATGAACGCACAAGTCACTAATCTTCAGTTTCAGTCTTCTATATTTGCTGAAGGTTCTTGGGTGTGAGTTTTGTCTTCTTGAAGTATAGTTGTCGCTGTAGGATTACAATACATGTTTCAGCGATCACTGAACAGACTCAGTGATGATCACTGGAACTGAATAGACAGAAACATAATATTTCGATAGGTAAAAAGGATTATCATCAAATCAAAGAGAGAGAGGATCAATAATCTCCCTCTATTTGATGATGACAAAGCAACATAAAGAAAATTGTTTTAAGGTATAATAGTAAGGAAAATTTAAACGTAAAGTACATGTCCCTTTTAACTATTTTGGGATCTTTTTCAGTGATACAATTTTTACTATATAAGTTTTCTTAAGTTACAAGTTTAAGAAAAAGTACAAGAAGGGAAACTGAAACTGAAAGCATGTTCACTGACTGAAGATTGTTAGTGAGTGTAAGAGCTTACTGAAACTCATAGACATGTATCCCTATTACTCTTTTCAGGGATTTTTTTTAAGTGATACAGATGAAAGACTTATATTATTCAAAAGGAGGAATACAAGTGTTACAACAGTACATTCTAGGCTTATTATATATAAGTTTTACACTAAAAGAAAAGAAATAGAAAAATAAGATTTACAAGACATAAATTTCTAACTAATCTAAGTCGCTGAAGTCGATCTAACCAGGTACTTCTTCTCCAAGCATCTTTCGACGTAGAAATTCTTTTCTAATCTTGCGGTCTATCATCTCACCATAAAGGTCATTGTCTAACCAATATCTTAGATAATCTAGATTTCTATAGGACAGAGACGGAGCTCAGACACTCTTTGAAAGCTATGTTCGCCATCATAGTCAAGGAATATGAATCCAAACTCAGGCTTTAGGTGTACAGAGTTGGGTGTGTAAGGACCCTTCGCTGGCAAAGATAGGTTCAACATAGAGATGTCTGGATTCTTTGAATCCTTAATGACTTCCTGCAGGGAGAACTTTGTTTCATGTTCGTTCCTCAGAGTTGGATTTCTTCTTCCACCTTTCTTCAACGTTGACTTTGTAGGTACAACAACAAATTTGGATCTCTTCTTGATCAGCTCGCTGAGGATGTCTTTAATTATTGGCTTGTGCCTTGACTTTGAGCGCTGAATGGCCTGGCGGATTTCCAGCCATTCGTCATGGCCGTATTGTCCATGGTAGGAAGGGTACTCGATGACAGAGTCAAGGTTGTCTCTGATGATGTGCATGGAGATAATCATTCCACCATCTTTCTTACGACCACTGATTGTGACAAACTTGATGCGATAGGGACTAATTCTTTTATTAAGTCGATCTTCAGTCCATTTCTTGTCTCGGTCATTCAGTTCCATTGCTTTTTGACGTTCAGATTCTGCAATTGAGAGCAATTTAGCTTGGGCCTTGACAACATCCACCATCTTTTTAGACATTTTCTTTGGAAGAACTGGAGAAGCAAGAGACTTGGCCAGCTTGAGTCTGTCCAAAGTCTGTTGTCATTGAATTTGGAGTTCTTCCTCAGCTAGGCATGGGAATTGGCCCCGACCCGTCGGGGAACCCGGTCCACCCGCCCCGGTCCGTACCCGTATATATATATTAAAAAATTATATAATATATTATTTATTTCTATTAAATCGGTAAATGGTAATTTCTATTTCAATATCTTTTGGATATTACTATATGTGGTGTTGGATATTACTCAATATGTTTTGGTAAATGTGACGTTAATTTTTTTAGATTAAAATTTTTTATTTTTTGTTTTCCATTGTTAATTATTATATAATGATGTATATTTTTTGTATTAAATTAAATTCCTTTTGATTTTAGGTTTATTGGAAAAATGTGAGGTTTAAACATGTGTAGCGTCTCATATATTTAATTTAATTTTTGTTTTACACAAACATGAAAAAAAAAATCCTTGTTCCCCCATTGGGGACGAGGATGGGGATGTGATCAAATTCTCCGGTAGGGATGGGGACAGGGATGGCGATAAAGATCGGGGATCGGGGACGAGGATTGGGGTCCCCACCCCATTACCATCCATATCCTCAGCCTTGAGGTCTTTCAGCTTCTGTAAGGAAGTCAAACTCATCATAACTAGAGGTACGAAGAGTAATTTTTACTCTAGTTTGGTCGAGTGACTCCTTAAGCTGAGTCATCTGTTGGTTGCTAGGAACACTAGAAGTTGGGTTTTCAGATACCCAGTCATCAAGACGACTGTAGGTAGTAGAAGGAATAGTAGAAGAGAATTGTTAGAGAGAAGTGACGACAACAAACCTGGAGGGTTCACCATATCCTTGAGGATTGATAGGCTTGAAGAGAACTTTCAGGTTTCTTCTTCAGCAATACCTTTGTCTTTGGAGGAGGTGTTCTGGTTCTTTGCAGATGTCTCATTCTCTTTTTCCTTCTTCTTCTCCCCCTGGGATGAAGATTCCATGAGAGAGACGCCTTTGAGAGCGGTAGCTGGTTTGGTGTGGTATTAAATAATGAAGTCATCATCA